TTGTTTGAACCTCTTCATCATTCTCTTCTCTATCTATTGTTATTCTATGTTCATTTCTGCTACTTAAAAATATACTACATTAATCTTGTAAGAATGCATTTAAATTTAACTCATCATATTGCTCTACTGCTTCCTTTAGAGCTACCATTCATTCTTTATCCTTATTATAAGTTTTTGTTGATAAAGAACTGAACTCTTTCTTCTCTTGTCTATCTTGATCAACTGGTGTGCCATTTTAGGAGCGGTTTGTCCACCCTGGTCCCTTTCTTTCTTGTCAGTTAGATCTTAAATTGCTTTCAAGCTTGGCAATTCTTCCACTTAATTTTTCCAGATTTGTTAATATGAGCTTTAATGAATCTTGCTCATTTATCGATTCAGGATCATGTTGTCTTATGCTTTGGTCTTCTGATGAGTCTCTGATATTTCTGAGAGGTTCCCTATTACTTCCTGTTGCTGAATAGTTCAAGGGTTTAGGGTATCTTTGTTAACCATTGTTGTTTTGACTCTGATATCTTCTTCTTGGATTATTTGTCTATCTCTGTTATGTAGTTATGGTCGAGCTTATTGATTTATTGTCTGATGGTGAATCTGTTACTGGTTCTATATCTGTTTTTACTCTTGTATGCTCTATTCTATTTCTAAACTTTCTGGTTTTAGGTTTGGGACTCTTTGTAGTTTCTTTTAATAGAGCTTTTACACTTCAGGATAGTCTCAGTCCTTGTAGAAAAATATGTTGCCTACAGGCTCTCATCATGGCTTCTTTTATTGTAAAGCATACCACTGTGAAGTTCTGTTTTTTTAATGTGCAAGGATTTTTTGATATATAATAGGCCTTAGCTTCTGTACCAATAAGGGCTCTAGCTACCAAACTTGAAAATATTCTGTTTGTGCCTAGGAGTCTGGCTAAATGCTTGTTTCGTTCAATCAGAACTTCATTTATTTCTTGATCTGTTAGCTCTTCTTTAATGAAGATTACCTTTGTTGTTTCTGTTCCAAGTGATGTTATCCAGATTTCTTCTAAATTGATTTTGAGATACTTATGCCACTTAAGGTAAGCTTTTGCTCTGAGTTTGGTTTTTACCTCATAGATATCAATATTTTTGACAGCTTCGTATCTTGTGAGGTGTTCTTTTATATAGCTTCTAGGAGTTTACAATCCATATCTATCAAATTCACATGCCATATATCTTCTCCTTCTTCTATATTGTGGTTTCAGAATATTTTCTTCTCCATTTTATTAATAGATGGATATCTTATATGTTCTTTTATTTCAGGTTCTAGTTGTTGAAGACTAAAAGTTTTCTTTTTTCTATTTATTTCTTCTAGACATTTAAAGAGATCTTCTTCTTCTTTAAAATGGATAATCAACCACTTATTTTCATTGAAATTTGACTTTTTAAATAATAAAAGATATATATATACTGTATATATATTTAATCCATAGTCAAGTCAACATGACATGTCTTTATTGTATATATGCTAGGTATTTACAAATTATTGTGACTTTTACATACTGACTTCTCTAAATACAACCTAGAAAATAATATTTTGCTTCTTTACTAATTTGAATAATTCCTCTAATTAATAAAATCATTGCCTACAGATAATTACTGTAGATCATTCTAAGTTCTGTCTGCAGTTAAAAACTGAACCACTTTATTCTGTAACAAATCCAATCCTTAATAATAATTATATACTTATTTTCTTCTATTTCTTTGATGTTCTTCAGATTCAAATTCTTTGAAAATAATAACAGTTCTTTTTGATCCTATTCAGTCTATTCATCAGGTCTGGACTTAAGTCTCTTGTTTCTTTTGTCCACTTCTGTAATGTTTTGTTTCTTTTCCCATTCTATAACTTTGATACAGTAAGTATTTCAGATCTTCTTTTTAAAGTTTGCTCTTATCTTTTGATAGAGTTTATTGATTATATCCTGTGAGTTTGCTGGTGGGATCTTGAGCTGCTCTTTGAGATACTTCTTCAAGGAGGTAGTCTTGTTTTCTTCCATGTATTCACAGATGGTATTGAAAAGGTTCTTGTTAGATTGGATAATAAAAGATATTTATCAGTAAAATTCTTTTAATTAGACATAATTGTTAAAAAGTATTATATTAAAATAACATGACTCAATTCTTTAAAACTTGAAATCTATTATAAGTCACTTCTCTATTACTGCCAGATAAAAAATTACTGTTCAAAGAAGATTGGAATCAAGTATATTTTGGAAATAAAGACCTTTACTAGGTAATAAGTCTTTTTAGATTATATACAAGAAGAAAATCAAGATTAAGAATAAATAAATTTCTCAGATGATCAAGAAATAAAAGAATATTTCAATTAAGCATTTCTTATTAAGAAGAGGTTTTGAGAAACAGGTTTTTGGAAAAAGATGAAAATAATTTTTTTCAATTTTTACTTTTTCATTTTCTTGTTATTTGTTTGAATATTTTTAAATATCACATCTTCTCTTTTTTCAATTTATTTTTTTGTAGTTTCCTATATTTCAAGGGCTTGGTGTAACATATAGTAGTAATAACCTACTAATAATGATATAGTGGACTAGGAGGGTTTTTACCCAAAAACACTGTAGAGCAAAATATTATTCTTAAAGTTGAATTTAGAAACTTTTATACTTACAATAAGTTAATTAAATTAGAATTAATAGTTTAGTTGTAATATGTATCATACTGCTTGAATGAAAATATGATTATGTTTTCAATTGATTAATAAATTGACAATCTAACCTGGCTATGGGTACTCATAAAAAAAAAAAATTATAATCTGATAAAAAAAATAGAATAATTGTCATATTATAAAAAAAAAATTAAGTTTAAGGAATTTTTAAAAATAATAAAGTCAAATACAAAATAGATAAATAAGATGAAATGGTTGGATTTTAACTTTTGTCAAAACTTCTTAGTAATATGCAAGCAATGAAATTAATGATTGAAAGAATTTTTATTTGAATTATTAATGAAACAATATATTACTTCCAAAATTGCACTTAAAAACGAGTGAGTTATTTACAAAGTGCACGTGACTAACCTGACAGAAGGACTTATGAATAGATTTTATATGCATATACAAGAATTTTCACGTGATAATGCGGCATACATTGAATAGAACTTGAGTGTGATTCAATTTTTGGGGGACTCGAGCATGTCTTTCTTTTCAAGTATCACATCCAATGTATTCTTTCGCATCGGATTTCCTTTGCAACGACCAGCCGCCATTACTACAAATTTAGTCGGACCTTGTTTTCTTCAATTTCAGCAAGTTCGCAATATTACCAGACTTTGGAGGCGCGGGACCGAAAGGCCGCCACCACCAAAGCCCAGAAATAAAACCGCAAAGTATCGTGGAATGCTAAAGGTAATAATAATACATCATCTGACGGATCTGACTGTATCAGCCTTATGAGAATGGTCCGTGTTCACATATTGATTTAGGCGAAGCGTAAGAGATTGCGAAGGAAAAAGACACCGTGATAGCAATAATTAATGTGGTACGAATAAATGCAAGTATTCATTTCTTTTCCGAACCTACAGTATGTCGCTAATGACGGAAAAAAATAGTGCTCAGATAATCTACAAGTAAACCACGTAGATCACGTTGGTGCCACTAGATTCGGTGCATTGTTATTTGCATGGATGAACCAATTAACAGCTGACACAATTAATTAATAAATGGTTTCCCAAAGTTTTTTCGACCTTCATTACACTCCTTTCTTTACCTCTCTGAAACATGGCAGTTTCAAAGAATATTTTGGCAATTCTTTTGCTGTCCGTGTTATTATACGCTGCTTTGGGTATCCTTTGTTTTTAAGACAGAGATTTGTTTAATCTCACGTTGCGATGCTCCATGATCTTGGTTTCTCAAATAAATCAGTCGAGTTTACCAATCATTGGATTTTTATAACGCATAGTAACTTTTCCTTAACTTTAATTAAAAAATTCCTAGTTTTTGGCGACACTGCCGAGGAACCAAAGCTATATGCACAGCCAGAAACCGTAGATATCACGGGCGAAATCACTGAAAACCCTTTTAACCGTAATCTATTCAATTTTTTCTTATGACTGTTCCAAAAGTTTACAAAGGTTGAATTTATTGTGATCGCAATGTTACAGATGTCATAAATGGTCAAAAGAATTCGATAAAACTCACTTTTGACAACAAAGGGGAAGCCAATTATACCGTCAAACTGATTGCTGGTGCCTTGGTGAACAAGGATAAACCAGACGAAATCTTTCGAAATGTACGTCAAAGTTAATCCGCCTCTACACGAACTACATCGGTGCATTCTAACACATCACGTTAATGACAGCTCACATCCTCTCCTTATTCCGCACTCGTCCCCGCGATGGATCATATTGATATCAAATACACTTTTTATTCGGAATTTCCAACACAAGAATTGGGTCTCGTTCTTTTTGTCTTCTTTACAGACGAGGTAATTTTCCAAAGCGTTGTCACCTTTACTTTAGTGTATATTTTTTCAACTTTTTTTTTTTTTTTTAGGAGAACAACCAATTTAGAGGTGTTGGATTTAATGACACGGTTACCGTCGTCGAACCGGAACAATCCTTGTTTGATCTGCAACTGTAAGGACATCCATTGTTGCTTTGTAAAAGTCGTCATTGTTATATTTAGTGTTAATACGATCATCATCGCATTTTAGTCTCTTCTTATATGTCATACTTTCCGGGATCATTTTTGGAATCGGCTACATGATCTTCCAAGCATTCTTTGGAGGGACGAGGCCCAGAAAAGGCAGAAAGGTAAATAAGAATCACCATAACTTGTAATTATTGATCATTATCGAAGTTAATGTTGTTCATTCCCTTTGCAGCGACCTCCTGTTAGTAAACCCGAGGACCAGGCCACCGGTGCAAGCTCATCATCAGATTTGAAATACGATGAAAGTTGGATCCCCGAGCATAATTTGAGATCTCCCGCCGCTAGAAATAGTTCACGTATCAAGAAGAAAACTGAAAAGGTTGAAAACAAAAAAGACGAATAAAAAAATCTTATATTTAATTAGGCTGTGGTGAAAATCTGGCGGTTAAAATTATAATAATAAAAATAATAAATAAAAAACTATCTTCGATTTTTCCGTTACTTACATTCAAAATCACTTATCATGCGTTATCGAATGCACGTACGAGTTTGTTGTCGAGTTCTGATTGGATGAGTCAGCGTTACATTTGGTGACATAACAATCTTCATCCGCGTCTGCTTTCAACGCTTTTTTGCTGTATAGTACTTTTTTTATAATCCATACGCAAAGTAAACTCTGCTACATAACGAATATGCCTGGCGAAGCGTTGTTATTTCTTTTCGGCACCATCATGGCTGCTGTGTTGTTATTTATGATGGTCTTTTTTGTATCCTTTGACGCAGAAAGTGAAAAAAAATTATGAACGTATAAAGATAACACAAAGTTTGGTGTAATTGGAGTTTCATCTAATCAATTCAAAGTTGCTATGACGAGTTTTTGGGAAGTCTCGCGGAATGAGTTTGATATAAATTTATTTAAACATTATGTCTTTCATCCGTAACCTGCTTTTCCTACAGACGATCATGTTTTCAGATCTCGAATGTGATTATATCAATCCCATCGATCTATGTAATAAGTTGAATCAGGTATGTAGAAGTTTAGGTAATTAAAATTTTTAATTCCCTTTTTTTCGAATTCACACATTCGGCGCATGCACACTAAGTTTGTTTGATTTTATGTTAATTGCGTACAGTTCGTACTTCCCGAAATGCTGGCCCACTCCTTTCTCTTCTTCATGTTTCTGATCAATGGAAGTTGGATAGCTGCCTTAATTAATATTCCCCTAGTAGCATTTAATATTCAAAAGTAAAGCATCTCAGTTCTTTTTTCACTTCCTTTCTTCTTTTTTTTTTCTCTTTTTGAAATTTCGTGTACTTACACATTCCTGACGATCATTACAGAGTTACTGGCAATCGACATATGTATGATGCTACCGAGATTTTTAAAACGATCCATCAACACAAAAAGGAGTGCTTCATCAAGCTTGCATTCTATCTTATTTGTTTCTTCTTTTATTTGTACAGGTTTGTACCAATTGCTAATTCGTATCGTGCGGTGAAACAAAATATTGAGGGTTCCCTTATCATACGAACCGTGACTCATCCTCTTTTTGATTTATAGGATGATTATCGCTCTTATCAACGAATCTTAGATTGTGTTGTAAACAAAGATTTGGGGAAAAGGATATTTTAAGTCGTGAACCGACCCGGATTTCAGATCAGGGTCACACGTTATCTGCATGCTGGCGAGATAATGAAAAAATGAAAATTTGAGTTGACTGAACCAGGACCATAAATCCATTTTAATGAATAGCTTTATCCAAATATTACGCATCAAGATGAATCGCAGTTTTTTTTTGACGCATCTCCTAGTCGGACAGAACCATTT